TAAAATGATTTCATTTCCAAATAACCAACATGTTTAAAATATGAATTTAAAAGGTGGCACTGTGCATTGGACAAGTGTTATCAGGCAGTTGCCAGATCTTTTGACAGTCAGGGGGGAACACCACACCCACATGGTATTAGAGGATCAGCACTACAATGGGTATCTAGTTATTTGAAAGCTAGGAAACAGTTTGTAGAGATAAATGGTGTAAGATCTAAACTTGGTAATATCACATGTGGAGTCCCTCAGGGCTCTGTACTGGGACCTAAGTTATTCATTTTATATGTGAATGACTTAGTAAATGTGTCAGGACTTTTCAAATGTGTTTTAATTGCTGATGATGCAACATTTTTTTTGTTTAAGTAAAGATACAGAAAAAATGCTTGAGATGGTACAGAAAGAATTCGAGAAAATACAAAGTTGATTTCAACAAAACAAATTGTCATTAAATTTGGATAAAACAAATTATATGATTTTTAGTAATAGGCAGACAACTGTTGATTTATCATTTGAAGTAGATGGTATTGAGATCTGTAAAGTCAGTGAGGTGAAATTTCTGGGTGTTGTCGTTGATGACAAGCAGACATGGAGACCTCACATACATTATTTAAGAACAAAAATATCTAAACCTATTGGGAGTACTGTATAAAGTCAGGGAGTTATCCGATGACAGGTCTCTGCTTGTGTTGTACAATTCAATAATTGTTCCACATTTAATTTACTGTATTGAAGTCTGGGGTAAAGCTTGCAAAACAATTACAAATYCAATTTTTGTTTTGCAGAAAAGAGCCATAAGAATTATCACTAAAAAGATTACAACCATCCATCAAATACATTATTTTGCAAATTGAAAATTTTGAAATTCCATGATTTGGTTGACTATAATATTTTACTGTTTATGTACAAGGCTCAGAGAAACTTATTACCTTCCAACATTCAGATAAACTTTGTTAAGAGAGACAGTTGTTATTTTCTTAAGGGGATGGAAATGTTTGTGAAGCCATATTTTTGTACTTGTTTGAGAGAAAGATGTACTTTAATCCAGGGTATAGTTTAATCCAGGGTATAGTTTAATCCAGGTAGGATTATGGAATGGTCTGGAGGATGATCTTAAAAATGTCAGATCTATGTATATACTGCATTTAAGAGACGGATAAAAGCTGGTTTTCCGAAAGTATATTAAATAGCAAAAAACGAAGCTAAATGAATTGTTGTTTTAGTTGATGTTTTTATCTTCATTTTATTTTTATTTAGTATTGTTTTGTAAATTATCTTTTCTTTGAATATATATTGGGGATAAAAGGGGCAGACATTATAAGATTTATTCTTCTTCTGCTACCTTTAATTTWATTTTTATTTTTTGATTTGTGTATTTTCTTTGCTTTTATTGTACAATGAATACATTTTGTGAATTGAAAAAAATTTAATTAAAAAAACATTGTTATATACTGTATGTCTGGACTATACAATGCCCTAACATTCAGCCCAAATACCACAAAGAATGACTGCCCTTTGGTGGCCCAAATGGGATTTGATAGAGGTGGTCCATGCATGGGCCATACATGTTAACCCCTTTGGGTGTTGACCCTCAAAAATCTGTAGTTTACACTAAACCCCGCCACAAGCGCGGGTGTCTGTGTCAGGCTCACTGTCGACCGTGGAGAAAGAAAGAACATGGGGTGGAGATAACATCTGCAGTGCAGAAGAGCAGGGAAAGGAGGACGAGGAGAGGTGAAGAACTTATTTCTAGCGGCAGAGCAGGTTGGCAGATGGTTATTTGATTTTATTTATAGTCTTTTCACATCCAAAAGGTTGTGATATGTAAAATAAATTTGAAGCTGAGATTTTGAAAATAAATAAAAATAAAATCCAAGAGACTTCCCAATATGTCTGTATACCTGCAAAATGGAGGAAAGTCTGTGTAATTTATAAACAATCTGTACAACTTTACACGTTTGGCCAGCACCAGATAAACCAAATCCCAACCGARCCAGTTGTGGCATTGACAGAGTTGGACCACATAAACCAAACCACAATCAAGCTATTTATGGTGTACCTTAAAATCAGTGCCATCWTTGACAGACCTTGTCCACATTTTGCCGTGCAAGCAGCTTGACACCAGATCTGACCTACATCTGTCTGCAATGTGGATACTTACTCGAGTTACATGATTTTTCAGCACATGCAGTGTTGGGTACTGAACTTTTTGTGAGCMTTTAGATTCTGACAGTAAATGTCACTTTTAACACTTTGGAGCCAAACAAATGTTGACAATCAAATTTTTAAAACATATTTTTCCTTTTTGTCTGACAGATATTTTTAAATTAYTGCCTCAGTTGCTTCAATCTCCATTGTCCCCAACTTAAAACAGACAGTTAAAAACACAAAGAAATCAAGGTTTGGAAGTAAAATGCAGCACTTATGAATAATAAATGTAGACTTTGTTCACTTCTTTATTCATCCCRTTCTGTTGTAGACTGCACTGTTTCTCCCTGATGTACCATAAGCATCAACCACTCAGGGGAGCTATAAATCATCAACTGTGCTTTCTCCTTGACTTCAGTTATATAAACTATACAAGAAGTCCTAAATATTGTTGACAACTGTCTCTCCTGCTTTTGAAAATCAGAGCTGATTTAGAGACTTTTTTTTTATAAAGCTTCTAATAGGTTTTTATGTGAGCCAACGGACATCAAAGAGTTTTTTTTATTCCTTTAAAAGTCCAAATGAAAGCTGGATCTCACACAGTATGTTGCATATTTGTATATGGTGTCAAAAATGGTTGTATTGCAGTTAGAAATACAAAACAGAAAACTAGTTTTATTTTAAATTTTTTTGGGGGGTGGGGTCAAGTTATGAATATTTTTGTTACCAAGAATATAACAGTGTTGTAAATCATCTGAGTTTTGATCAAAATTTTATAGTTTTTAAGGAATATGAAGAAGTAAAACTAAAACTTTTTTTTTTACTTTATCACAGGGTGTTTTGATCACCAGTTGTCTCTGCTTATGTTTGATAACTCAAGAACACCCAAAGAGAGTTTAATTCATTCTTAGAAAGTAAATCATTGGATATGTTTACAACTGAGAGTCATACCCATTCAGAATGACTGCCACAGGAATGCAACCTTAAAGAAACGTCAAATGTGCTTTAACTAAGCTAATTTTACAAACTTTAACAGTCTGTTAGTTGCTAAGAGTCATTCTTAACCCATGCTTTGAGCACTACACATTGCACTTTTTTAAAGGTCTGGCAAAAAGTGTTGGTGTCAAACCTGTTTGCACAATAAGTTAAGATAACACTGGAGAAATTTTATGAAACTTTCATAAAGAAATTAATCTATACCATTGGCAACTGATTAACTTTTGGAGTCTATTCAGATTGAAATGGTTGCCACAGCTAATTGACAGTAGCCAACACAAAAATGTCTATAATCATCTTCACAGATACCAGGCTAAGGTTTGATGGGAAAGTAGCTGAGGGTCGTACACAGACCACAAGAGCCCACCATATCACACTGGGCAGCTTGTGCATGATGTCATTTGCAAGATTTGACCAAAACAGCTACAACTCCATCTTACACAAGATCAAGTTTAAACTTCTGCCATTRAAAACTGTGGGCGATATTCAGTCCTTCAGGGAATGTTAGATCTTGAATTTAAAAGCTGCGAAGGAAAATAACCGGCCCCGAAGAACCTTTAAGTCATGAAAGAGTCACAAAAAGTGGGAACACTTTTCTTTTCACCRTACGTTAAAGAGTTCTGAAAAGGATTTTCAAAAGTGGGTCTCCCTTCAGATATGCATTGTGGAGAGAAAACTGCTTCATTTTGGCTCAGCTGCCCTTGCATTCTCTTTTCTTCGACTGCTACACCTCTTTCCTTCTAGCGCTAAGATGCGCACCAATTTTTTTCTTCCCTTTTTTTTCACCGCCTATTCCAGCAGCTTCATTCTTCTCCCTGTATAATAGTGGATTTTCCATGGTGGATTTGTGCTGGGCTATTTTGGGGTTCTGTGCTGGCTCCTGCATGCACTGCTGTAATCCAATTGTGATAGTGTTAATTTTTAAAGCTTTATTATTGAAATTGCTGAGACTTAATTTTTCCCTTCCTGTCACTGTTGACGACCGCCGTAATCATCTAATTCAAGTTATTCCGGACCATTAAGTTGCACGCAGAGATTGGTCATGGTTACTGAGGCCGGAGAAGAGGGAATGTTGGACGCATAGTTTTTGTGTGCTTGTTTGATTTAACTAGTCTCTAAGTCCCCTTTATAGTGCATCCACCACTGTGAGTGACCCCAGGATTCCTTTTCAAAGGCATGTGAAAGCTCTTTTGGTGTGTAGTTTATTTATTTCTTACTAAAAGTTCAGACTCACTTTGGTATTTTTGCGAGCTTTCAGTGTGTGGAGACATTTACGAGTGGAAGCTGCTGTTGTTTTTCCAGTTGTGACGCAGGTATGGTTGTATTGGAGAGGAACTTTACTTCACACAGATTATGTTCTCTAGTCTGTGAACAGAATGACAATCACACACACACATGGTCATATTTTGCTGTCCTTGTGAGGACTTGCATAGACTTCCATTAATTTCTACAGCCTAAACCTGATTCCTTAACCTAAACCTAGCCTCACGTACCTAACCTAACCCTAACCTAAACTTAATTCAAACCTTAGCACTAAACAAACCCCTGACCCACAAATGGGCTTTTCCCTTGTGTGGACCATGCAAAATGTCCTTACAAAGATAAMAAAACATGACCACACACATTGCAGTACATAAAAACACTAGCACCTGGACTTACAAACACAACTCTTATTGACTACTTGGTTGCCAAGAAACTTAGCCTGAGTCTTTCAAAGTGAGCGTTAATAAAGAATTGTGTGTGTGTGTGTGTGTGTGTGTGTGTGTGGTGTGTGTGTGTGTGTGTGTGTGTGTGTGCTACTAGGGGGCACTTAGTTAACTCTCTGTGGGTGTTGACTGCCTCTGTCATTGTTGGCTCATCTCTGCATGAACACAAAGTCTGGCTAGGTTTTCGACCAACGAGGCAGAAGCATAGGCAGATCAACCAGAGACTTACGATTTGAGAAACAGAAAAGAATTTTCATTTAAAACCGCYTGAGCTTGGAGATTGGGGTGAATTAATTGTGGCCTAGGATGAGGACAGTATCCATTTTGGTGAGTTTGGATTTCAAGCCTGTGTTAAACTCGGCCTTTTTGAAATAGTCTTGAATCAAGACTTGTTTGTATTTCTGTGTGTGTGTAGCAGTGTGGTGTAACTTTACAACTTTAAATATGTTATTCTGATAAAGTTAAGGTGGGGATTTGAGGAATGATTATGAACAATTAATTTCTTACCAGTTCTAGACAGATATTTGAATGACAACTTAGAAAAATAAAGTTCATTCTGACAGGACTGATGAGCTAATGGCTAGTCTGAGTGGGGCCACCATCTTAAAACAATTCCAGCCTCAATGAATTAGCAATGTCAGTGTATCACGAGTAACTTTAAGCAGGAATGTAGTATAATCTTTGCAAAATAAAAGGTCACAGTAAAAACTAGAATTAGAGCTCGAACAAATGGACTCAATAAACAGGTTTCTTAACTCGACCAAATAATATCTGGAAACTGTAGCAGAGATAAATGAGTGCTTGGCCACTTTATTTCACTTATTTGTCCATTGTTGTGTTTTGTTTGTCTTGGTTCAACATTTCTGCTGGGCTCACAATCCTGCCCGCAATGAGGAAGAACGTCTCATATGGAGAACTACCAAGACTAGACCTGAGGAGAGTCTGAGTATGTAGTGGTGAGATCGTACATTGAAAAAAGGGCATGTTTCTCCAAAGTACCATATTTATTCAAGAATAATACGTAAAATTAAATCCACAAACTCATCCATAAATTGGGGGGGGGGGGGGGGTAGTACTATACTATAAATATTTTTACTTATGTATTTTAACTGAAAAATCGGCTTCATTCACAAAATTATTGAGTCCGGAAATGAGGCCGCATCGTAAAAAGCAGTTGAAACAAGCTTACCTCTGACACTCCGTGCTTCAGAGCAAGATAATAACAGATCCAGGCAGGCGACATGATGTGAAAAAGGGGAAAAAAGTATTCCCGCAGCTCAGTAATGATAACGAACTAATGACAGTAGCGTGTGACCGGGCTGCTCCTCGAACAACAACAAACACATGTTCGTCTGTAATGGCTGCCGTCTACCGGTTTTCTGAAAAAGTTTGTATCCCTGAAAAAAGTTTCCCCACCAGAGCGGGCGCTYGCGAGTAGGAAGTAATCTGCTTTTCCCCCAGAAGATGGTCCAAATCTCATGTGAAGTCTCTGACTTTTGTTTTGGCACATCCTGGTGGACTATGTGTAAAATGCCAGAATTCATATGATGCCGCTACAGCTGATATATATTTGTTGTCAAAATACCTTTTAGTACATACTGTATGTTGTTAAAATAAAACGAACAGTCCAATGATTATTTTACTGATATGTATAAAGACTGCAAAGGCTGAAAAATCTTGAAGTCTGTATGAAATTGAACGTAGTTTGAGGATTAATTTTTTTATGCTTTTTAAGCTAAAAAAAGGAGGGGGTCATATTATACATGAGATCGTATTATACATGAATAAATAYGGTAAGTTTGTTCAAWTAGCTATCTACAACAGATAAGACATTAATCTTAGTTTTACACAAAATCCCTGTTCAGAAAAAGGGGAGTAATATTGTAATTTTATTTTCTAAAAATTCAAGCATCCTCCAAAAACCTGGAGCAACAGTTTGATGTTTGCAAAAATTAAGCTTTGTTTCATTTTTATTTCGTTTCAAGAAGTCAACGTGTAGGTTATTAAAAGCATTAGACTCATAAATCAAATGTGCAAAAAAAATCTCTCTCAATTAACCTATTACCATTTTTTGTTTATAATACTACAAAAACACATCTGTTGGTAATCTACTTTTTTATATAGATGAAAGCATCATATCAAGATCACACAACACCATAATAGCTGTAGCAAATCATTATTTTTTCCTGCTTTCATTACACATCCTGCCATCTAAATCTCAGATCAGTTTGATGCTTCATCCAATGAATTTGTCACATAAACGTTTGTGTCGGGCAGATTATGAAAGTGAGAGCTGCCCTTTAAAGTGTTACGCAGAGTGTTGAAAAAGAAAAATTATAATTTTCCGTCCCTCTCTCAGACTTCAAATGTGCACCTAATTGCAGCACAGGGCTAATTGAACAAATCCTACCTCTTTCATCTTGAAGGTTTATTGTGTTTGGCATCCGTTTGGTGTCTCCTTTAAAAAATATATATCTGACATATCAAAGATTTGACATGCCTCAGCGTCCTGCTGGGTGTTTGAACCATTTCTGAGGCATGACATCGGAGACCTATTCACCCGGCACCATAAAGCCATCGAGCTGGGTGAAAATGAAGGTCCTTCCCATGCTGTTTCACACAGGCCTGTTTGGGTTAGGCAAAAAATAAAGAAGGAATATCAAAGAAGTCTGTTGCTGTAATCCAGCTTTATGGCCATTATGACATGACAACCTGCTGTGATATAGATTCTGAAGGTTATTAAAGGATCATTCACGCTGGGGACATCTTGTTTTGTCATGGAACACAACCAGAAAAGCAAAGGATGGARAGGGGAAATGTATTATTTGATGGGAGATTTCTACACAAATAGCATGCAGGCTGTCCATCTCTGACCTTGTGTCTAATATACTGCTGATTGATTGGCAGGTCTGAGCTGTAACCATGGGAACGAGGAAGGAGGTGGCACAGCTGGAAAGCAGGCTGGACGTGGAGGATTATCAAAAATTAAAGAGCCTTTTTATTGTGAGTCAATTTGTTAAATAGTTAATCAATTTTGATGAAAAAAAGTTAAAATGTGTTGTATAATTTATAGTGAAGCAGGGTCATCTCTATGTTTCCTGGTACCTATGTTCTCCCATAAAATACCTTCACTGTAATCAGTACTTTTGCCATTTAAAAAGGGTGAGCCAAGCATCTTTCATGACTTTATTAAGAYTTGGAGAACATCGGTGCCAGGGAAYAAATATMCTGGGGAACAYAGATACCAGCAAGCATAGATACAGAAGAACATAGATCCCAGGCAACGTGGGAACTAAATAAGTAAACATAGGTACCAGGAAACGTTGGTCCCAGGGAGCATATGTACCAGGAAACATAGATACAGGAGGACATAGGTACCAGGGAACATGGGTAGGAAAATCTAGGTACCAGGCAACTTCGGTCCTGGGCAATGTAGACATCGGGGAACATACGTAGGGAAGTGCAGRCAGAAAGACCCAGGGTGCAGGCAAAATTCCAAAATAAAGTTAAATAAACAAAAGAGGGCTGTCGTGGCAGCAAAAYATACAAGAGTTTTCTCAGGAGGAACAAGAGCTCAAGGAAACAYRGGAGCATRCCACACTGGCTGAGGGAAAGCAGCRCAATGAACGAATGRGACACAGAGGACAGRACACAGAATATGAAGGGAATTAAATGAGACAAGAAACAGCTGGAGGAGACACAAGAGGAAACAGGTGAGCAAGGGCAGGGCAGGAGGAGTGACATCAGGGCAGTGATACACAGAGGAACACAGAAACACTAGAAACACTRAAGCAGAAAGACACAGATCACGACAGGACCTCCCCCTCAAAGGTGGCTCCAGACGTTGAAAGGGGAGAGGGAACATAGACACTGTCATGGACTAATTATTTATCTGTTTCCCCTTGACACTGTTCATCTCTCATATCTTCACAAGGCACTGAACTTTGCCATACTCTTTGGGGGATGAGCCTTGTGATAGTCCATGACAGACACCACAGGAGGCTCTTTGCTTCCTAACATTTCTGCCTTTTCCTGGTCTGATATTGCTGTTCTGTCATTATCTTGTAAAACAGGATAACATTGTTTATTGATACCATTCTTCTTTTTTAACCATTCCCCAAATTTTACTAATATCAGTTTCCCTTCTAATTGAATTAAAAAAATTGCCCAAAACTTCTTTTTTGTTTTTTAAAATTGTCCTCTGTACTTCACCCTGAATTTTTTAAAAACAATTTGAATGCTTTATTTTGAGATTTAATAACTCTGTCACATTCTTGTGTCCACCATGGTGGACAATCTTTTTCCTATTTCCACCATGAGATCTTGAGATAATCTGTTTTGCTGTCTCTAGAATTGGTGTACAAATGCAATTATTTAAATGATCAATATCCTGATTAGTATTAATTTTATTCATTTTTTGATCACAAACATGTTTAAACATATCCCAGTTGGTCTTAAAGAACAACCCTCTCTGTATTCCCTTCTCTTTTGCAGTTTTCTACTTTCAAATTCATTGTTATAACTATTGGATAATGATCACGTCCCTTTGTTGTATCCAAAATAACTTCCCGTGCACATTTAGCTGCTAATGTGTCAGAAACTAAAGTCAGGTCAATAGCTGACTCTAATCCATGTCTAATATTAATTGTTGTTCCACGTCCATCATTAAGACATACTAAATTTAAATTTTCCATAAATTCAATTATTCAATTTTCATCATCAACATTCCCCCATAATGTATTAAAATCTCCACACCAAATTATAGGGCCGGATTAATAATCCTAGGGGACCCTGGGCACTGAGGCTCATGGGCCCCCTCTGAACCCTAATACTCACACCCTCCAAAGGAGGCAATAACAAAATTATTGACCCCCCACAAATAAATAAATAAATAAATAAATAAATAAATAAA